CCAGCCGTAGGGACGATTCTCTTGGAACCAAAGTTTATCTATTGAATCTCCAAAGCCCATCATCAATATACAGCTACCCACTGCAGCCACGGGCTCAGGTAAGGGTGCTACCACACTATAGTCCTACCTGCACTTCTGTTTAAGAAGGAATTCTCTCTACTGCAAGATGTAAACGGAGCACAGCCTGTGGGGAGATGAGGCTATCGCTTACTAGCTACCGACTTTCAAAGAAAACAATATTTATCTACAGCTTTGTCTTCAAGGGTTGAAGACAGAGAGAAATTGACGGATTACCTGGTAATTATTTTGGTTTTGTGACAGCCTCAGTTGACTTGAAGATGTAAAATGAGGAGAAAAGGTACTTCTTGATGGATTAGCACTGTTATATAATGTAGTGGATGTTGTGTGTAATGAGGTCCGTGCAGGCAAGTGGTAGTCTCTGTTATGATACAGAATATTGTCAGACACGTCCCTGGCATTCACCATCTGGGAACTGCAGCTCATGTTTCTTCCTGGCCCAGACAAGGCTGCACTTTGGTTCTGCACTCGAACAGAACTGCTGCTTTCACAGTATCTTGAATAGCTTTGTATTTGTGCTCCCATGGATGCCAGTTCTTCTTCTCTAGCATACTCGTCGTCCACGTCTCCAGTTTCCATCGCGATGGACAGACAGCTGCCTTCCACCGAGCAATGCTTCTGCGTTGCACTTCCTCCCACCATTCTCTGAGGTTGATCTGTCACTGCCAGAGAGAACACTTCGCGGATTTCCAGGTTTTGAGTGCTGCAGGAAGGGTCCCTGGTATGAGCCCTTTGTCCAGGGGGCACGTGCGACGCCAGGGCTGCGTGCTCCGGTTTTTGTAGCCGCTGACATCCCACGGGCTCAGCTTTACAGGGTCTGTGGCATATCACAGGTTTCTGAGGTAACACCAACTCTGCCGTCTGCACTGACGAACCACCATAGCTTTTTTTAGTGTGGCTGTATATGGAGTTGGCAGAATTCAGTACGCTTGTCTGCCTAGACAAAATAATAGTCTTTTCCCCTACTAATAGGGAAGCATTTTTACAATGTGGTACTTGTCGTCCTAGAGGGATGTGCTGCTGCTGAAATTCCGTATCGCTTTTTCCCGACAGTCGTGGAATAGAGGTTTTATGTATTTCTGCCATCGAAGCGTTTGTCTGTTTGGCGGATCCTTGCCTACCGGATGAACTAGCAGGACTGTAAATACCAGTAACTATTACATCGTTATTAGAAGAGGTCCAAGAAGACTGCTGACTTTGGGATCGAGCAATATTTACCACATTTCTAACTGCTGCTTCTGGAGGTACTGAGGGAGTAGTAGGGACAGTCCCCGGGGGAGTGCCTCCAGATTCTACAGCACTCTTGCTGCTCATCTTTCGTCGTTTATTGCCAACCCACGTCTGCAAACGACAAACAACAACGACAACAAACACAAAACAAAGCATTAAATAGGCAGAAAAAACAGGTAATTCAATTTTTAAGAAGATCTGATGAAACGTTAAGTGTTCAAGTTGAGACCCAAGTTTACAAACATGTAAATCATTTACTGATTATGCAGAGTCTGAACAATACAGGGCAGAAATCCATGCGTCTCGTGGTTGGGGTTCATACACTAATACACACGAGAACCTCAGTCTCAATCCCAAATCCCTAGTTTCTCAAAAATCCTGAGATTGTATCGTGCCTCCTGTCCCAAAGTTACCCTTAAGATTTATTTCATTGACACTGCTGTAATTCCTTCAAATTTAAGTTTTCAACATATAGCACCTCGGGATGCAGAACTTTCACCGAGCCATTTGGCTAAACTTTTCTAACGAAGTAACAGAGACATGACCTTCAAAACTGCTCTGAACAGAAACTGCCAATTCTTGAATTTAGATGACACGAAGAAAAAGAACTCTTTGTGTTAGTTACAAAAAAACTTTGTGAAGTATTTAGACCTATGGACTAATTCTTCCTCTGCCAGCTGCACAAGCCAAGATCGCATGTCAAAACCTGCTTTTGAAAGACACTGAGGGACAAGATTAGGACTGCTGGGATTAGACTCCAGCAGAAGTTTGCTATTATGGACATTTGCGAAAGTGACAATGTCAGTATATGGTTTTGTGTAAAAGATAATGGAAGAAAAACATTTGAAAAATGCAGGTACTATGGCAGCTGTGCGTAGGTTAAAATGTACTGCTGTTTTAAACACACGGGAAAGCCTCTCCTGCAAGTAACACAAGAAGATATACTAGAGGAACTGAAAGGGAAACATTAACTTCAGTAGTTCAAGATAAAGAGAGTTAATCTGGTGGAAGCACCAGATCTAACACTGGAAGCACAAGCACCACCTAACTATTCCTGGCAATTTTCACCATCAGAGAGACAAGACTTGCTCAATTTTTTCACCCCAGTATGTCTGTACTGACCATGAGGGCAGAAGTAAGTAGGATACAAGTGCCAAAGAACAAAAAATAAGCTTTTGCATCTGCTCATGCTGGTTATGAAAAGGCCCAGCTACGCACAGAGATATGGTGAAATGGTTTTCTGCACCACTCTGGATGTCACCTGCTGCACACCTAGATCCAAACCAAAGCAAGATCTCACCACTCAGCAACCCAAACCAGCTGATTTTATCAATGAACTACCTCACTCCACAACAAGGAAACTGCACCGAGTACCTATCTTGGGTTTCCATCTCATCACATGAAAGAAGGAAAGTTTTCTTCATATACTGATACCTGCTAAGGAAGTAAACAGATTTCTCTACAGACAAATACACATCCCTGCGGCACAGAAGTATGCTGTCTCCATTCCATTCTACTCATTTTTGTTGTCAAATTTTATAAAATGCCTACTTTGAGGCAGGATTTATTGCACGCAACAGAGTCTGTTACTCATGATAAATTTTTTCTTCTCCAAAGCAAGTTTAAATACACAAATTATAGCCACAGGTGTCAACTTACTTTCCTTTATTGCATAAAACAAATATAGAAGATCAAATTTATTTTTTGTAATTTCTGCTTAGTCAGTAAACTTTCAAGATAGAAATTACAATTAAAAAGAAACATTGCAAGTTTTAGGCCAGGAAAAGAGATTTCACTCCCAACTTTTCCAAGTCTACAATGCTAAAACCTGAAGCTTTTCTCAGGGTTTTCCTGAAAAGAAATGCATTCAAAGAAATGCAAATAACTTACTAGCACTGCTGTTCATTTGGGATTAAAGTATAGTTTCATGAGACAGCCCAAGTCAGATTTGCCACTGCTGAAAGAGTCCCATTGTTGTGATCATGTCCCCAGCATCTTGCTCCCACCATTTAACCAAAAGCACACACCTGAATGATCAGTGAGTGCAACTCCCTCAAAAGGCATAAAACTGAATTGACAAAAAAAAAAAAAGAACAAGAGTTTTGGTAAGGTTAGCAAATTTAAGTGGGTTACTCTGAAATTGAATAAATGCAAGAGATGATCAGCACAAGAAGACAGGAGCGAAAAAAATGCACAACTGGGAGAAGAGAAAGAGTACTAAAACTCCCAATTTTAGCACTGTGAAACATTATCCCAGGAAAGAATGATGTGAAACCATACTCTTAGACTGAAAGGGAAGCTCCATATGGTTACTAGCTTGATGGTTATGGTGTTAATCTGGGATGTGACAGAGCAGTCATTAAGTACAAAACATCTCAGAAAAGGGACACGGATCTTTGCTTCAATCAAGTTCCCCAACTGGTAAGTCTGAGGAGCAATTTCACTAACACATGACAAATTCAGGACAAACGCTGGCTCTGTTTCCACTGCACTTCAAAAGTAGGAAGAAAGTGTAAGTATTTCAAACAAGGGCTCAGCAAGGGAAGACGAGCAAAGAAAAAGGCCATGACACATTCCTGCAGTAATGGAAACAGAGAGGGGAAGCGAAATATGAAGACGGAGAGTCGATGAGGACTGCAAGTAGAGGAGAGACTGGCTGCCTCCTCTAGGTCCTTCAATCAGAATAAAAATAGCAAACCAGGCCCTGACTGCATCATCAGCATCCAGGTTCCTGTTACAACTGTTTGTCTGTTCCAAGAAGCCTGAATTTCTGGCTGACTTTCAGAACTTCCCCCCACCTAGAGCTGAGAAAGTAAGCTGTAATATTTTCAGTGTATTTGGAGGGAGGGGAATCAGGTAAGAATTAGGGAGCAGAAGGGGGTATTATTGTCAATATACCACTGGTACACCACTTAAAAACTGCAGCAACTCCTGACAGCTCCACTGCTGGTGTTATTTTATCAGCTAATGCTTCATGATTTCTATTTCTGCTCTAAGACAACAGCCATTTTGTTGCCTAGTGTTTCACAAAGGGATTATTATGTC